TCTGGCTCACAGCTCAGTGAGCTGTAGTGTTTCACTGAAAATTATAGATGGAGAGATAGATCAATACTGCATTGTTGTGTTACAGCAGCATGATGAAGAGTGAAAATAGTACAGTCTACAAAAAATGTCAAACAAAAATTCCCACCTACCCTCGATACACCAAGTGTAGTGTGATAGGAATTATCTACCTGTTGCAGCATGCTCCACTCCTACAAGGCTGGTAAGCAAACTGAAGAGGGCCGACAGCATGTTTTTTTCAGTGCCTTTAATACCTTCCAAACAGTTCTGCGGAGAGGCAAGCTGTTCAGTATGGGTGTCTCCACTTCTACTGTCTTCTGGACTGCAGTGGGTCTATGCCCATCAACATCATGGTTGTGGAGGTTGAAACGGACAGATACTGGTACTTTCACCTGAATGACAGATTGGACTGGAGGACCAGCAGTGATGCTGTGTACAAGTAGGGACAGCATCAGTGCCAGAGATGCCAAAATGATGAACAAATTAATCTGCAAAGCTGGAAGCAGCACCGCTCAGCATTTGGAGGCATTTCAGTCAGCGAGGGTTAGAGGTCACTGAACAAATTGTTCTCCATGACGGACAGCTCATCACACCTGCTCCATTCCACACTTGGCCCTCGAGGACTGGAACTTGACACCCCTGCTTTAGAGAGAGGAAAAAAACTTTCCCAAAAACCAAGATTTATAGCATTGCTTTCTGATTAGTGGAGTGAGCCTTAAGTTTCTGTACCTTATTGTACCATCTCTAGTGCAATACCCCCACCCAAATTCCTCAGAGAAGCAGCCTCTCCCTATATATCTGTTAGTGTCTGAGTGTAACTACCTAAATCCAAAAGTATTCTACAATACATATCTGTGTGCAGTAAAGGATAAAACATAAATGTATGATATAAAATACGAGGTAATTGTATAACATAAAATAATGGGGATTTACGAGCATTAAAAATAAATAGATTCTAACAGTATACATAAGAATAATATATTTAAACAAATTTACTGCTTAGAGCAACACTTTATTTCCACATTTAAAATTTTATGTTGAAACATAAAGTTTTAGATATTTTATGTTTATGTGACATTTTAGAGGGACTATATGACATTTTTGGGGAAGCCCCTGTGAAAAATATTTACTGAAGTGCAAATAATGGACTTTTCTATGTTCCTTTTATTCCCTGTTATTTTGCAGGTTGACCTGGTTTTTGCCTTTAGCATCCTGACATTTTAATTTCAGAACTGTAATATGTTATTTAAACCCATAAAAACTGAATTATAGATGCCTATCAACCATCTGGCAGTGGGTTAAAATTACCCATTCTTCCCATGTAAACAATATCTGCCTCCTTTTTTTTCTTTTGCTGGGGCAAGGTCCCTGCAATAATACAACCACAACAACGCCTCTATGAGCAAGCTCTTGGCAATGAGAAAGAAAAATTCCAATTTAACGGGAAGAAATCTCCTGAGGAACCAGGCTTGAGGAGGGGCAACCATGTCCCTCGAACAGCTGGGGGTGAGGGGGGGAGACAGGACAAAAACACAGTGTGCAAGAGATTCCGATTTAATTGATCACTAATTATTAAATGCAAAATGATGTATAAATACACAGTTTTCATATGCACAACATTACCTGTCCACTCTCTGTGTTCAGTTTGCAGAGAAATATGGAAAGATTTTCAGCCTTCGACTCTTTGGTGGAAGACTTGTGGTGCTTAATGGCTACAAACTTTTGAGAGATGTGCTGGTCCAACAAGGAGAAGA